TGATAGATATTTTATATTAAAATGCTTCCACTATACGAGCATACCTATGTATTTTTGGATTGTTCCCCTCAAAAATAAGCAAATTTGTTTGCTTAGGTTACTTAGACTAAAATTGTGATCGCGGTTATTATTAAAATAATTCAGTTGTAGTTCAAGAAAAAATGCACAGTTCAAAGTCATAGGTCAGACAAAAATCGTTTTATACCACAGTGAAGGAATGTCAACTCAACGGTTCAGCGGAAAAATATTCTAAAGATCTGCTCAATAGTGTGAAAGTCTATTTAAGTTTAATAACTAATTACCAAAAACCCATCTTTAATAGCGAATATGATTTTTTTTAATTATTGAGATTCAAATGCAACTCTGCTGTGAAAACAACGGCATTTAAATTACTTCTCACTTCCCTGAGCTTATAGAACATTAATTAACGGATTAACGAGAAGGCTGTGTTTTCATATGAATATCTAAACAAAAAATTGTTTCCTTTATTTTTTGTTTTGTTTGAGTTTTTTGCTAATTGAAATGTTATGATACTCAATCATAGACGCTACTATGTATAAGAAAATCAACTTGAATATCAAAGCGACATCAGAGGAAAATAATCTACACTGACGTATAGCAAGTAAAATAAATAACTTTTAGTTAATAATACCAGCTACGCAATTTTTAAAAGAATAAAAAAAAAATATGATGGAGTTCTATCACCATAAGTTTAATTAGTTTAGGCGGGACTAGGCTCTCACAAAAAAAAAAAAAATCCAAAACAATGACAATATATTCTTGCACTAAGGAAGCAGTTATCGAATTTCTTTGCAACAGTTTTTATTAAACAGTTTCTGTGTATAAAAAATATATATTTTTCAAAGTAAATGGTGTCTATTGGAACAATCTTGAGTATCAGCTTTTTCAAATGTGCCTCAACATCCAACGATGATTCTAGGAACTCGTGCCGTTTTGGAAACAAAATAAAAACATACGATCTTAAACCGCAAAATAGATGTCGGCATGGTAGGTACGATTTGAGCTTTGCACAAATTTTTCATAAAATTGTAGACTTGTAAAGAAAAGGTTACAAAAAAAATTATTAAGCCGTTTTTAACAAAAGTTGCAATAAAAACAAAAAAATCGTACATAGTTAACTAAATGAAGCTACTATGAAGCTATAAACAAAATGTTAGAAACATGCTATAGTTACCGAAAATTATCGTCCCCCTTTTTGAAAATTGCAATTTCGAGAAAAAATCGTTAAAAATGTTATTTGCTAAAGCTGCGGCTATGAATACTACCTACCTATGAAAGATACCTGCTGAATAATACTTTCTACCAGTTCAAATTAAACAGTAACCAACATATATCTCAAGCTATTGTCACCAATTAAGTGATAGTTTAGTTAAAAATTTTAAATAATTTCAGAATTAAACGGAAAAAATGGCTTTCGCACGGCATTATTTTCTACAGTTAATTTCGTGCACTTTTGTGAGAAAATGTGAAAATTAACAAAAAAAAAAAATTAATTGTATTCACATATTGGAATCAATTAGCCGACGGTAACTCTAATTTTTTGCATAAAATTCCTTTTTTAACTACAGTTAATCAATTTAAAGCCTACTAACTTTGGCGAAAATATGGTCTCGCCAACCATTTTGATGAGTCTTAGCAGCTAATCTTAAACTGGTGTAATTTTTTCAAACAGTGCTGTCGCAAATAATTAATATTATTTTGCCAACTCGAAAAGAGCAATTAAATTATCCACAGATTACCTCAAAGTTATACTTTATATATAATATAGTACGATTTTCAAATCACTGTATGACTTCGAATATTTGGGCCAATTGTAATTTTTTGTATAAAGCATTTAATGTCAAGCTTTATACTAGATAAAACACATTTCAAAGACCGTTAGGAGCACTCTCATTTCATAGCTATTTTTCTCTAAACAAATTTCAATATGAATCTGCGGCGGAAACGCGATTCAGCCCCAGCGTCGCAAATAATGCGTAAAGAGGCAATGGAATTAATATTTAAAAAAAATAATATTTTTTTATATTGTAATTCCGAAAAAAATAATTTTCAAATTTCAAATCCCAAGTACTGAATGAAATTTAAAAAATAAATTGTTAGTTTATACAATTAAAAAAAAATTTAAACCCAACAATCGGAAATAATATTACCATTTTTATCCTAAATGCTAGACTGAAAAGAAAAAAATGTATATATATTTATATCCAAAAAGCGTAGATTAATTACCATTTTTATCCTTAACACCAAGTTTTTATTTCAAAATTTAAAAAAAAATGTGTTTTTGAATTTTACATTATTTCGAACTTGCGTACTTCGTGTGCTATCATTTATGTTAGTTTTATAAAACCTGAGCTTTTTTTACACTTTTTTATCTTACTTACATTTAATTACTTTTATTCATAGTTTTTCAGTTAGAAATATGTGAATTCTTTCAGCTTTTGAAAAAAAAAAATTTTTTATTTATTTATTTTTAATTACTACTCTTTTTATCACTGCTTCTTATATTTTATGCTGACAATTTTTATTTCTGGTTTTTCAGTTAAATATGTATATATATATATTAAATATTTTTAATACCGATTTTTCTTTTAACAACTCAATATTTATTGTGCACACCTAATGTGAAATTTTGAAAAAATTAATTTTAAAAATTTTTCATATAAGTTAGTATGTTCCTTTAAAAAATACCATGCTAAATTTTTAAATGACAATTTAAATATTTTTTTTTAGTGACAGGCTTCTAAAATGTAGCCGCTCTGTACAATCGGCTCTAACAGTTTATCTTGATATGCGTTTTTCTCGAAAGAGCATTTTTGAAATTTGCTGCAGTGATTAATCGGAGACAAATGATCACTATGAAATAATAGCTAAAAAAACAAAAAGAATCTGCATGTTCTGTATATAGTTCTTCATACACTGACTAACCAGTTTTTTTAGCTGAGTAAAAATCGAATTTTGCCAGATCAAAAATTACCTAAATTTTGAGTAAAATTAAACTTTTTTTAGAATGTCGCCATTTTTTTAATTTTAATATTTTTTTAACCGTAGCTCATTGTACGGACAATAGCTTCTATTGAGAACATTTTTAGGTTGCACCCGCGGAGAAAAGCCGTACCACTGCAGCAGTGTAGCAACTTTTTCTGTTAGCGCCGTCGGAGTTCGCGCGAAACTCGCAAAATATTTAATTTAAAAAATTAAAATTTAACTGAAAATATGTAGAAATTTACCGTGGAAATTTTGAAACAATTAATACTGTATTTAATTTTTTAATTTCCAAAAATTACATTTTTTTGGCTATGACACTAATTGTGTGCCTTAAATTATTATTTTTTTAATTAAAAATTTTTTTTTTTTTAATTTTTTATTAATTGTTTAATTGTTATTCCCATTTTTAATTCAAAAATAATTTCTATTTCAAAATTTTTTAATTAGAAATTTCACAATCCTGCGCAGCTGCCACCAAAAATTGCACTTAGTATTTAATTACAACATAAATGTATTAAAAATCGCAAAAAAAATAAAATACTTATAAAATATGTATGTATGTATAAACAAACACACATATAAGTGCTTGTCTTCTGCAAGCCTCGTATATTTCAAATTAAGAAACAATTAAGTTATAAAAGACATTATGTGTACAACTAATAAAACAGCTGACTCATCAGCGTGGTCACTGATAATTATCTTCATGTACGTATGCATGTATGTACTCACACCTCGAACGGCAGCAGTTATATAAATTCAAAAGTCACTCATTAGTAGTTTAACGCCTTTCTTAATAAGCGCCGCAACAAGTTCTCTCCTCTCTCATTCACACATTCACGAACACACACTAACACGCATTTGCACAGCACGCGCAGCCATTGAACAGCAAAAACAACAACAGAAACAACCCCCGCGCTTGTAGGCTTTTGCATGCGGAATTGCCGCGTCTTAAATAACAACTGTTGCAACAACGTGCCTTTGGATGTGTGAGTGTGTGTGTGTTTCTCTACATATATATATATGTGTCTGTATGTTTTTCTGCATTTGTATGTGTGTGAGTGTAGTTTTCTACATATGTAAATATATATATATGTGTGTGTTTGTGCGTCTAATTATTGGCTATGTGGCAAGAAGATGGCAGCGACGAGCGTTAAATCAACTGGCAACTGCCGCAACTGCCAATAATGACGACACTGATGCTACTGGATTATGCTCGCACGCCATTTGCATGACCGTGCAACAACACAGTACACAACGGTGCGTTCGTCCGTCCGTTCGTCCATACAGTCAATAGGCAGCGACATTGGAATGGGACATTGAGGCAAATTACAAGCGCAACTTATGGTCAAACAACTGTGATTGGAATTAACGCTAAGCAGTCCAGCTATATACACATACATATACATAAATACAAGCATATATGAGTATATATGTATGTATGTAAATATGTATGTGCGCTTCTAACTACTAGTATTCATATGCACTTGCGCCAGCGCACACCGCAAACGGCAATAAGCCAACATGAAATACAACAGCACAGCAGCCTTCAAACACACATACACATACACATACGCACATGCATACATTTGTATAAAAATCTATATTTACATATACAATATACACATATTAATATCTATATGCATCCACATACTAAATGCCATTGTTATTGTCTGGCCAATAATTTAACTATTGTGCCACATGTGGCAAACAGCAGCTGGCTTAGCAACAGATTATTGTACATGTTTGCCAATTGAACAATACTACATTTAGAAGGCATACACACAGCCACATATACACAACTACTAAATGTACTTTGCGTGAGAAACTCACCGTCCAGTTGGCTGGTTGTGGCAAGTTTATTTCAAGTGATTTGCCGTCGGTAAAATTAGCGCAACTAAATTTTGCTGATATGGCATCGCTAAAAATATAGAAATTTTGAACTCTTTGTTTATGTATATGTAGCCCTTATAAGGGCTTTATTTTTGTTGTTGTTGTTTTTTTTTTTTTGTGCTGCTCTCAAGTTTAGAATCTCTGGCGCTCACGTTGCTTACTAAGATGTTGACAGCAATCCAAACAGCGTCTTCTGATCCACAGCGGTAGCTTTCTTGTGAAATCGCGGTAAGCTTTTCCAAAAGCTCAGGAATATTTGTTAAATTTACTAAAGTTATTATGAAATATCTTATAAAATTGCTGTAGAATATCTTATAAAATTGCTAGTAGTAAGCTCTGAAAGCCCTTAACACACTCGCTATCATCTTAAAAAGCTCTGTAAGTGCTTATAAAGCGTGTTCTTCCATTACAAGCTCTTAATCTAACTAGCATACGCGTTCCGGTTTTTTCAAACTTTCTGAGTAGCATTTCTGTGAGCTTTTTTGCGTACACCAGTTTCAGCGTAGCACCAGCTTTTAAAACAAGTTTCACGCTGCTACTGTCTGATCTGCACTTTCGCTACCAACGTTCCTGTGAGCTTTTTCACGTATTTTAGTTCGTTTGAAGCTTTTCGTGAATGTTCGGCGTTGCTACTGTCTGATCTCAGACAAAACTTTCGCTACCAACATTACTGTGAGCTCTTTCGCGTACTCTAGTGATTTATCAGTGAAAGCTCGGCTCTGCAATTGGCTGATCTCATAAAAAGCTTTCACCGGCAACATTCCTGTGAGCTTTTACGCGTACTTTTGTTCTTTTGTAACTTTCGGCTAAAGTTCGGCTCTGCCACTGTGTGATCTAAGACGCACAATTTTCTTTTCGTAGCGATCGCTGTTCGCATTACTTCGTTTTTCTGAGTGCTGACAAGAGCGAACTCGCTCATAGCGCGATCTAGCTGTAATAAAGCCCTGCCGCTCATTTCAGTGTCTCTTCTCACAGCAACTGTGCCGTAAATAATTTTTCTTTTGTAATATCAGGTAATCGACGCGCATACACAATCCACAAAAAGCGATCGGCCTTTTTTCTCCAATTTCATTCCGGCTCTTAACTGTTTTTAACTGTAAATAAAGCATAAATATATTTTTTTTATGAAACCAAATGAGCTCGATACTAATCTATATAGGTTTAGGAAACAAAGTACTGAATTCTAAGCGATTATTTTTAAATGAGTAGCAAAAGAACGCTCAACTCGCTTAAACTATATTTAAAGTTATTTAACCACGAATCTTAGCAGTCAAACTTATTTTCGACTTTGAGTGCATTTTTTAAGTGACTAGTTTTACCGTTAAATACAACAATTGAAAAAATATTTTTTTTTTTGTAAATTAGCGACTTGTTTTTAGCGAGTATTATTTTGCCGCTCGCTTATATATTTTTTTATGAAAATGTAAAACTTGAAGGTTTTGAAAATTCTCAAAATTTTTATATTTTAACAGTTAGTAGCTTTCATTAAAAAGAAGTTAATTAAAAAACTAATTAATTTTTATAAATATCTCACATATACTCTACAAAAATATATTTTAAATTAACTCACCTCGATTTCTGTCGGCGGATCTGCATAATTATTGCATTTGCTTCGGTCATTAGTTTAATGGTGTTTCATATTGTTTTCTACACAATCATTAATTTCGTCGTCATTAGTTTATAATTTTTTCTAGTAAATTTGTTTGCTCCCTCTCTGCTGCTGTGTGCTCACTCGTCCATATAAGCTTGCCGTAGTTGGGAGAAAACCCCTCGTTCCGTGAAGCACACGGTGAGTACTCCCGAACTTAGCCAGGAAAAAATGCCAACGATCACAGCATAGTTAAGTTTTCGTTCGCCCACACAGGAGCCCGCCCATAATACGCGGTTGGACTCATTTACGTACTTTTCGCACTCTCTCTCTCTCTCTCTTTCTTTCTCCTTCTCCGTCTATATTTCTAGCTCTCGTTTTGTTTTCTTCGTATTGTAGACGCATTCCCCAAAGCAGCTTTCAAACTTTAAAGAATCGAATAGACCTTCTTGGAGTCTTTGTTATCTCACCATATCCCACTCTTCGTTTGTAGTTTGAAGCAGTGCTGTGGAAAGTCGCACACTCAGATATATTTTTTTGGATTTTTTTTTTATTTATTTATATTTTTTTTTTAGATTTTTTAAATTTTTTTTTATTTGATTTATTTTTATCCGACTTCCGCATCACGTAAAGCTTTTTATAGCGGAGTGCGGCTTGTAAAAAGCATTCGGACACGACGCGTCCGCAGCGCGCCACTCGTACACAAAAAAGCCCAACACCCAGGGCGTCAGGTGGCAAACAAAAAATTTTTGAAATCTGTTTCTCTCTCGCGAGACGAAAAACAAAAGGCTGAGATTTAAGCGGTTTTCTCTTTTTTTATGCAAAATTGACGTAAAGCAGCAAGCGAATTTGAGGTGGTGAGATTTTCCGGTGAATCGATTTTATTGCTTAACGACGACGCCAATGCTGATGCTTGCGAGCGACTATTCGGTGTTGTAGTATTACTAGAGCTACCAAGCGAGTCGAACATGGAGGAGAGTGCATTCAACGAATCGCTCGGATATTTCTTCTCACCATCGTACGATTTAATACTGGATGCTGGTGATTTTGGTGTAACGGAACGATGACTATCGGTGGGGCTGCGCGGTGCGAGCGCCTTATTCATTACGGGACTAACAGCACCTACCGATTTGGTTGGTGTAACACTGCGCTCTTTGTTGTTATTATTATTATTGTTGTTGTTGGTTATTGAAAAATCAGCGCCATTCGCGACATGTTGCATAGCTGAGTCATTGCCGACACCGCCAACACCATTTGCTGGGCTCTCATTGCCACGCTCTTCCTCCTCAATCTCAGACTTGATCTCCATTTTGATTTGTGGTGTTTGTTCCATGATGACGTCATCATGCTCGGACTTTGGTTTGAGTGACTCGTGCTCACGTTTAATCTCAGCTGATTTTGGTTCCAAACAGCTCATCATTTCGTTGGATTGTGGCTTCTCTGGTGTAGACACATCCATCTTTCTTGCCTCGACATGCGTTTCGGCGCTGCACTCACTGCCGCTGCGTTCGCTGCTCGTATAACGATAATGCTGATAGTATGGATCTGATGTATCAATTAGTGGCTTATTGTAGTCTACAGTCTCGTCAATGCCCAACCGCTTAAGTATGCTCGAAGCAACGGGCGAGGTATTCTTAGTCGACGAATTTGATGGACTTGTGGCTGGCAAGCTGGCATGACGCGGTGGCGTATCAAAACTGGTAGTAAACATCTGTTCGATAGCGCTCAAAACGGACGAAGAGCCAGCTGCTGATTTGGTAGCGCCATTTTTCGGTTCCAAATCTGGTGACTTAGTTTTATTCAATAAACCGCTTACGTTTAAACCAGCCTTAGCAGCCTCATCGTCGGTCACCTTTACGCCCGTTATGTATTGGCGCATGCGTTCAGCAAAAAGAGCGGCATCCGATTTGTCATTGCCCGGTCCGATGCCGGTGCCTTCGAGTGGCATGCGTTTGGCATTTTCATAGGTACGCTGCATCTTAGCCTCCATGCTTTCTGCTGCGTCATTTTGTGCGCCCTTCATTTCGAGCAGTTTCCGTACCGGTAAGGACTTTTCGCGCTTTTTGGGTGCCGGACGCTTGCGACTGCCAGCGCTACCGGCCATTGACTGCATCAACGGTTCGGCATAATGATTATTCTTGGCCATGTGATTGCTGAGATCGCCTAGCGAATTGAACGCCTTATCGCATACTTTGCATGTCAGCACGGCGCTGAGTGTGCGACTCTCCTCGGAACTCAAACTGTTGTGGCCATCCTTGGAATCGCCGCCACCAGATGACTTCATTGAGATCGTTTGTTCTTGTGACAAAATGTTCGTGTAATGCTGTGTCTCCTGCATGTGTTTAGTCATCTCGCCCAACGAACGGAAGCTTTCGCCACAACGCATACATTTCAAGATCTGCATAGCCTGCTCTACACCCTTACCCAGCCACACATTCTGACCGCGCACCAATTTACGCGGCAAAGGTGTTGGTGGATCGCCACGATATTGGAACGCATTTTTGGCCGCTGCGGAAGGTGTGGAAGACGAGTTGGATTGCGAGCCGCCACCACTATTCGGTGGCTTACGCATATTGTGCGAGTGCTGCTGACCGCTGTTGGACTGTGGTAGCGGTGGCTGATGGTGACGATCGGTGTTAGGTAAATTGCCAAAAGGTGGCACATTGACACCACAGTGTTTGCTGTCTTTCATGTGTGTGGTGAGCGCTTCCAGTGTGGAGAAACTCTGTTTGCACCAAACGCAACGGAATACCGAGCTGGCCACACCTTTATTCTGCCAATGCGATTGCCAGATATTGTGTCGCGCCTTGGACATGCCCTCGGTGGAGGCGGTCAGTGTGGTGGAATTTTGCGTGTTAACGGAAGCAGCAGCGGATGTTGGTGGATGTACGGTCGCACCCGGTGTTGTGGGTGTACTCGACGACGAACGCGATGATTTCTCTTTACGCGGTCCCTTTACAATATCAGACATTTTCTCCAACGGATCCACGACCAAATCATTCTTGCCATTCCAATCCGGAAACTGTCCGGTGCGAAAAATATTTGCCGCGGCAACTGCTGCCAAATATGGATTGACTGCTGGTAACAGCGGTGCTTTGGGCACCGTCGGCGGTGGCGCGACCAATGGTGGACTATCAGTTTTAAAAATTTTCTTTACTTGTATCTGTCCAATGGTGGAGTCGGGTATATGATCACCATCCGCTGAACGCTTACGCGTACCAACCGATAGATCAAGTGGATTATTAGCATCGTTAGCTTCCTCGTCCTCTTCATCTTCCTCGGATGGTGGTGGATCCGCAGAGGCGGCACGTCCATAAAGATTTGTGCGAAAGTCTAAAGCCTCTGAATTATTGCTCGAAGCGGTGGGTGATGCCTGTGGTGGCAGTTTGAATGGTGCTGGCGCATCTGCCGGTAATGGTAGCTGAAAACGATGACCGGCAGCGGCACCTAACGGGAAGCCATATTGTTGTGCGGCGGCCGCAACCATTTGCAGATATGCCTCCATTGATGGTGGCTGTGCGGGTAGATTCTGAGGTACAGCTGGGAATGTAGCAGTCATGGAGGGTGGTAAGGGTAGCATACCGGCGCTTGCAGCAGCAGCTGCAGCCGCGGCGGCATTGGCAGCGGCAGCGCTGGCATTTTCTCGACTATCCCGACCATTCTCCGAGGAGTTGGAATCGTGTGAGGGACAACGCTCGCTTGAGTTGGCCGACTCTGTGGAACGTGGACGTGCTGTCGGCAAGGCGCTGCAAGCAGAAGGAAAAGAAAGATTTTTAATACTGGAATATGCATTTTAAATGGAAATTGTTGTCTTTATTAATTAATTTGAAAAAAAAAACAATTTGTTTACCCTAATGATTAAAACTTGGTGCACAATAACACCCCAGAAAGAAATGTCGCAGACTCTATAAGGAACTAGTCCCTCAGTTTTCGAGCTATCAATCTGAAATTTCGCACACTTCATTCTCACTCAATGAAGCTACTCATTTGTTAGAAGCGCTGATATCGGACTACTATAGCATATAGCTGCGACAGAACGATCAAACTCAAGCTCTTGTATGAAGAACTTTTTTATTTGAATAGATATCTTCACTAAATTTGGCACAGATTATTTCCTGAGTCAAAGCTACAAACGCCAAAGATATTGTTTAGATCGGATCACTATAGCATATAGCTGTCATATAAACTATTCCTTCAAAATCAAACCCTTGTATGAGAAACTTTTTTATTTAAGAAGATATATTTGAAAAATTGTGCTCAGCTTATTGCATAAAATAGCGCTAAAATCTTCGAACATATTAGACTGATGGAATCACTATAACATATAGTTGTCATACGAACTGGACTAATCTGACTAATCACTTACTTGTTAATGCATTTCAACAAAAATCTGTGCATATATATAAAAAAAATGAGACCACGAAAGCATTATTAATGACCACATTAATTTATACATATATATATTTATACATATATACATACATAAGTACAACTTATCGCATAACCAATCTGAGTTTATTAGCTTGCTGTTTAAATCTGTTGTAATCGTTCATTTTGTTGATACGCTCGACGAAATCAATTTAGTTGATTTCAACAGTGTTTTATTGAAATTTATTAACCGACTGTCAGCATTTCGCGCTTTCACGAGCAAACAAATCAAAATGCCACAAATCAAATCATATGTGATGACTGCGCTTAAGCCAACTTTTATTGGCTGAAGGGACGGCAGCGTGGTGAAAATGATTACGCGCCAACAAAAATGCATGAAAATGATAACAAAAGTGCGGTCGAATGTGTGTGTGTGTGTGTGCATGTATATTTATTATTTTTTTTATTTATTATGTTTTTATTTATGTATATTTATATAAGTAATTAAATGTCAAAGCATCAAATCACAAAGCTTTCGTACAAAAAATTTTGTTATGCATATATTTATTTATACATACATACGCATATATTTCTGCTTATTATATTATTTGATTAAAATGCTGTCTTGAAAGACCCTACAAACGCTGCGTCTATCCGCTGATTCAAAGCATTGCTTTCAGCTTCGTTTTGTTTTCAGCCACTAGTTACACCTACACACACACATATATATATACATACAATCATCTAGTGCACATAAACCAGCCAACTAACTGTAATACATGTATGTATGTATATATATATGCCACAAACATCGAGCTGATTGCCTTGATTCGTTTGGCGTTGAAGAATGGCTTCGTTATTTACAGCCGTCTGTGGCTTTCATTTTGCCTTTCAACGCCAACCCCTTTCCCTGCCGCTTGGCAAGCCAGCTAGCCGGCCAGTCAGCCAGTCGAATGCTTTGATTGCGCTATGTGTCTCAAATATCTTTCACTCGCTCAAATAATTATCCAGCTTCATTCATTCTGGTGGCATAAATTTCACATACACACACACACACACGCACGCATACATTTGTACATATGTCAATTTGAACTCGCTCAAATCGATGAATTGGCGTGGCATAACGCAGCGCATTGTGCAAATGTACGCGCCACAGCTGGTGTTTTCTCGCTATTTAAATGTTTTGCATAAATTATGAGCAGGAGAAAAACACAGCGCTGCGTGAGCATAGAATTGATGTGTTGAAGACGAAAAGGCATACGAAATGTGGTAGTTAGGTATGTGCTGCCGATTTTTATTGTTGCTGATAAATAAAACAAATGAATTAATCGAGTTTTTTGTTGTTATTTATGCTGCTTATCTTTCAATACCTTTTAATAAAATGGGTATTAACTATTTAGATAAAATCTGTAGTAGCGTATGCGTGGAGATATACATAAAAAAAGAATCGGTAATTAATAAATAATACTTTCACTGTTTATATGCTATAGTGATTTCAACTGAACAATTTGTTCGGTGAATATAACGCTATCTTGAACAATAATTTGTACTAATTTTGTAAAGATATCTTGTTAAAATAAAAAGTAACCCATACAAGGACTTGATTTCGTTCGATCAACTTGTATTGCAGCTATATGCTATAGTTGTTCGATTTAAACAATTTTTTGGGAGATTACAGCTATGTATTAGATAATAAAATATGTTAAAGTTGGTGACGATAGCTTAGCAAATAAAAAAGTTTAACATACAAGAACTTTATTTTGACCGATCGGTTTGTATGGTAGCTATACGCTATATTAGTGCGATCTGAACAATTCGTTCAGAGATTGTAACATTGCTTCAGTCAATAATTCGTTCCAAATTTAGTGAAGATAGCTCGTGAAATAAAAAAAATGTCCATAGAAGGACTTCATTTTGATCGGTTAGTTTGTATGGCAGCTATATGCTATAGTGGTCCGCTCTGAACAATATAATCTCGGATTATAGCTATGTTTTGAACAATAATCCATGTCGAATTTTGTGGTGATATTTCTTCAAATAAAAAAGTTTTCCATACAAAAACTTAATTTGGTTAAATCAGTTTGTATGGTAGCTATATGCTATAGTGGTCCGATATCAGCAACTCACGACAAAAGACCAGGGTCTTGGTGCAAAAAGAACGTGTGCAAAATTTCACGACGATATCTCAAAAATTAAGTAACTAGTTCATGTACCATATATACAGCCAAACAGACGGTCATGGCTAAATCGACTCAACTCGCCACACTGATCATTTATAATTATAATATATATTTTCTAGCATCACCAACGTTTACTTTTGGGTGCTACAAACTTCGTCGCAAATTTAATATACCCTGTTCAGGGTCTAGTGATTGTCGTTTCAAATACAAACCGACACGAATGCAACCCTGTTAAAAAATGTGCTCTCGGAAGTGTGAATCCGATCATTTCGAACGCTTGTTATGATTAAGATGGCTTCGAAACGCGAAATATATCAGCGCATTCAGTATTTATATATTTCGAGTGTTGCGAAATGAATAAGCAACAAGCATAAATAAACTTACTAAGCAATCCTAGAAGAGAGCTGCCATAAATGATATATTTTTTAAGAAATAATGTGACAATATTGGGTTAGAATGCTTGGTTGATGTAGTACTTCTTAATAAGCAGTGTCAAATTCAGATTAATAACTTTAATATAAAAGTAGATTTTGGAAACAAAAGTGTAGTAAATAAAATGTTAACTTGAATGTTAAGGACAAGAAAAGCGCAAATCGAACAGTAAATACATATGGATATATAAGTTTTGAAAATATTATATATAAACTCCCGTGAGCTTCGAGTATGTATCAAAGTGAACTAAAATAATTGCAGTCTTCGGATTATACTGTAAACTATATATAAAACACGATGTACAATAGTTCGAAACGTATGATTCTAGAACACAACTTGATTAATAATTATATGTATACTTATAGATTACTAAAATCATAAAATAACATAAACTGTATAGAAATATACCTTCCTAGACTCAATAACGAATAATTAGTTGTTTGAAAAGGGATCTCAAATAAAATACGACATGACTCTGCTCGAAAATACACTCTAAGTGTGAATCTCACATTTTGGCACGCTCGTTTTGAGCTTTGAAACGAAAATATATCATCACCGCTAGAAAACCTGACTCCAAGCGGAGTCCTTAAGCCATTAGCAGTTAGGCTGGCTGTGCACCCATGTGACTCCTAACTAAGCATTATTCAAGAACTCAATAAATTTGATGACATTCCTAGGTTTTTTCCATGCTAGCTGCTTATTTTTGTTTTAAGTTGACCCAGTAGTACAAAAAATTAATCATACGAAACAGTAGAAGTGTTCCTGACAAAAATATAAAAAAAAAAATCCGGAAACATAGTGCTATGCTCCGAAACAGTAGCAGTGATTCTTACAAAAGTTAAAGAAAAACGCTGTTATAAGTGTAAAAATGAAGTCTGTAAAATATGATGTGCGTTGCCCCAAATGGGGCGTGGCAAAATACGACGCGCCAAGCCAATAAAACTAAAATTTTTGGAAAAATTTTGTTTATTAAGGTTCAGTAGTTCACTAAAATGTAACTAAAAATTGAAGGTTAATAAGTTCAAGTGTCTTTTTTAACTAATTATCGATATAATATGGCTAGCACTGCTTTTTTAAAGTTTTAAGTATCATTAACAATGACCGGAAGCAAAAAAAAAATCAACTTGTTTCTGTGCTAGATTGTTTTTCTGAGCTACACTACACTCTTATGGGTTCAAAAATTCGTTCTGAAACTTATCATATGTCATGATATTGCCTTTCATATTGTTTATAGTCAAAAAGTAGTATTTAAATATTTTTTATATAAATAAGCATCGCTATTCTTAACAAAAGGGTTCTAAATGGGAATTATATATTATAAGAGAATATTTCTATATCGTAAATATTTGTGCAAAACCTTATCATGTGGCGTCCAGTAATTCGTTACCATATTGTTCAGAGTCTAAAATTAGTTTGTAAATATTTTTCTATAAAAAGTAACATTATTTATCTATCTTATTTTTTTTGTTGGTAGACTATTAAAGACATATTTTATACAATTAAATATCACTGCACTTAATAAAATGAGTTCTAAATTTAATTATATATATATATATATATATTATATACTCTATATCACCAATCTGCAGTTCTGTCATCAATAGTGTTTCAATTCGACCTTGTGCTTTAAAAAAGTGTTATTTGTAGTATAAGTGCCATAACTTTAAACAAGCTGTGCTTGATTTTTAATTAAACTTTGAGTTTAGCACTTAGTACTTGACAAACCTTTGATTACCACAGCGCCTCAATCAAAGGTGAAAATTTAT